AGCATTCAGTGTTTCGTGTCTTCACCTTTAGCACCGTGAGCGGCTTCAGTTAGCATGCAGTGTTTTACAGAAACAAGGGGACCACCACAGTAACAGTTTACCTTTAATATCTGTAAAAGTGTGTGTGTTGGCAAAATGTCTCATGAACCACTTGGTGGATTTCATTAAAATTTCAGAAAGTAAATATTGAGTTGGCATCTGCAACAGACTGATTTTTAGATTCAGCCTCATTAAATATGGCTGCCTGCCACCCATATTAATAGAAAAGGGACTCTATGGATATTGAGCTAAAACTTGATGTGGTAGTAGTTGAGAGTCATTCACAACACATGCCCTAAACACCAACTGATCCAGCAAGATATCACATGACATTGCACATAATATTTTTAAGGTTGACCAAAATGGCTACAATTTTGTCATTTCTCAATATAAAATGATCTTAGTCTAAAAAAAACTGTAATGAAAGGCAATTACTAATAATAACTTATTCAGTGCTGGTACTTTATTTTAAATATTATTTGAAACCTTTTTATTTTATCTCCGAAACCATTAGACTGAAGAATGTTTAAAGTTATTTATTCTAAAGTCACCACTTGTTTGGATTAAATTGGATTATCCACAGTTTTAAGGGGGTGGGGGGTATTATGTATTTTCCAGGCGCATTGTTCAGTTCTACACAACAAGTAACTACATTTCCTTCACCCTATGAAAATTCTGTATATATCAAATGCCTTGAAATTTGCCCTTGTCTCTTTAAAAAAACCTACCGTTTCTGACACTCCCACTTCAGCATGTCTTAACAACAATGCTTCATACCATTTACAACCTTTTGTAGCAGTGTTGTATTTTGTTTTTAAAAAAAGAAGCAACATTATATATATTGGTTTTGGCAAACTCTTGATACAGTTGAACCTTACTCAAAGGATCACTAGACCCGGAAAGTAAATTTTCTGAAGAGCCAGAGTGCAGAGGCTCTTCCAAGATGTTTCAGCTTTGTAATACATCCTCTCGTACATATGTCAATGTTATTTTTTTWAAMAAACTATAAATATAYATCATTAAAAAGCTGCTTTTCCACGAAATCTTGAACATCCATCATTTTTCGGAAACATTTTTCCTGTCTGGGTGTGTGGGGAGGTGTAGGGACATGGGGCTTTATGAGGTGGAAGCTCGACTGGTGACTGAGCTCCAGGGAAGAGGTTTGGGTAAATAGGTGGTGCTTTGTATAAAAGAGTGTTTCAGCAACTCTATGGCTGCCCCAGGAAATTCAGGGWTTTCTCAAACATGCATGAAAGAGTCAAAACAAAACTCTTAGCCTGGTAAAAACCAGACCCTGTCCTTCACTTTGCTTCGGACAAGGGTCTGGCCTCACTGCTATAGAGAAACAATTCTTGCAGGAGGCGTGGCRTCTGCTGAAGTGTGTGTATGTCGCTGTAAAGGAGGCTAAGCTAAGAAGCTAACTGGAAATCGCGTGCACTGTAAACAACCCTACTGAGAGGAGAAAAGTCCTGAGCCTAACGTGACGGCTGTAAATGAGAGCTGCTGCTTTGTCAGACAAATTTAATTTATTTTGGAAGTCTTATAAACACGAACTGGTTTCATTCACTTCCTCCACTGCCGTATGCTAAACTAACTAGCAGACACTGTGCAGAAAATCGATGTCGTTCAAAACTTCGCCTTCTGTTTGCTGATTGGCCCAGTTAAAATAAACTACAAGCAGACACTGCACAGAAAATCGACGTTCCGTTCTCTTATTGGTTCGGCTAAAAATCTGCCAGCGAAATCCTTGTCRATGSGAGAAATCCCAGACGGAGCAGTGAAGGGAAACTAGAATTGAGTGGAGCTGCGTAGGAAGGCGAGGGCCAGGCTACAAAACTCTGGATATGTTTTTGAAGAGGGGATTGGATTAATACTGTACATGATATAAAGCTCAAAAAATTTGATTTTGCATACACCCTCCCCCCCACCACCCTTTTTTAAATTGTCATCAGTCATTACAGAATTCCCTTTCAGTGAACATCTTCTTGTTAAGTATGACTACACCTTAAACATGCATTTGTTTCTGCTCATTCTGGTTTGATTCAGCTCTCTTGCGATTCAATACTACACGTGAATTTTACATATTAGAGCACTTTTTTTACTTAGCATGGCAATTGTTTCTTATATCAATGGTAAACTTTAATATTTTGATTAAATGCAACAAAATTAATTTAAAAGGTGAAAGATAATAARAATTGTCCTGACCCTGAGCTGTTGGCTTTAAGTAACTGAGCAATTAATTTGGATAGTAGAGTATAATGTCTGAAAATAAGCTGCCCTAAAGTCAGCATAGACCATAAACTAAATTTGCTATAATGCGTACTCACTAGAAACATCAGTGAGTAAAACTAGTTTTACTTTTAATAATATTTCTGTATTTATTTCAGATTTAGTCAGTCATACACAGTTCTTAGCAGTGTTTAAAAGAGGACATGTTAAAACACTGTTTAGTCAAAGTTAAACATGAAACGTCAAAGTTAACTACAACTGGCCCTTCGAGGGCCACTGTAACGCTCATGTGGCCCTCAGTGAAAATGAGTTTGACACRCCTGTATTAGAGCAACTAAAGTTGAATGTTTTTGCTACGGTATTGGTTGGAGTTGGAGGAAAAGTCACCTTTTTGTTGTAATTTCAGCACTGTCTGTCRCAGGTTTTGTTTGTCTAATGGTAGCATTAAATCTAATTACTAGGAAGGTTAGTTTAGCTTTAATGGAAATGTAATCATGGATTTCTGGATATACTGCACTTCTTTAATCCCATGGTCGACTAAAGTGAAAAAAAAACAATTCTCCAATAGCTTTTGGAATTTAATTAATTTTGTCATTAGCAGCGGCCCTTGTTATTGGTCTCTTGTGGACTTTCATGTGAACTTAAGTTCATGTTTTATGTGATTGCAGGAGGGGGGTAAAAGAGGGGATACTTATTATTCTGCTCATAAATCAACATAAAACACAAATGCACAGATTATTTTTAATGTATATATTGATACATATTAAATTTAGGTCATGTAATGGTTCTTCCTTTATTTGCTCAGTTTTTTAAGCTTTCTCTACAATATACTGGTGAGGAGCGTTCAGAAAGTGGGGTGGGGGTGGGGAGAGTGCGTGACACTGAGCTGTGAAAGAGACAGTGTGATAAATATGAAAGCAAAGTAGGAAAATCCAAAAAAAMTATGAAAAGAAAATGAGACATAGGTCTGAGAAGCAATGGTATTTGTGAAGCACTTTTCTTTGAAAAAACTTGAAGTATTAGTGTGCAGTCTCATCCCATGACCTGAGAGGGGCAGCAGAGATGCAACTTTTTTCACACCACTTCCTGTGCCAATAAAAAAAAAAAAACAAAGTTGTACAAATCCTCCCTTTTTCCTCTGTCACACATTTACATGTTCCCTCCTTTCTTATCGTTCAAAAGAAAACAAAAGATGCTGAAATGACGTGGAAAGGCTGTTAATCGGTTTAAAGGTAAAGTCAAGCATGCGCCACTCCAGAAAAAAAAAAACAAAAAAAAAAACAACTTTGTCGTCTCTGCCTTTAATAGGCAGCGTTGAAGTTGATCTGCAGTGACAGTGTGAAGGCGCAGTTTGTAGCAAAGGCTAATTGGTGTGGATTGACATCAGAGAGTGGAGCCTCTCAGTGGCTGAGTGGGTCGGGGAGGCGGTCGGGCCGTGTAGGGCCAGGATATACAGCAAAAGGATCGTGCAACAGGGGCTTCTTCACATCCTCAGGGGGTCTTTAAATCATAATGAAGAGTGCCCTGATGTTGGAGTGGATGTATTGAGACTTGCTACATTGAACACTAAACATGGCTCAAGGCATTTTTRCCCCATGTGCTCTTAATCTAACGATAGTAAGTTACATAACAACCAAAGTGGTAATTATATGCCCTCTTCTCTTTAAGTTTGAATCGGGACTAAATTCTTGTTATTGACTGTGGCCGAAAGGCAAAGACAGCTGATGATGCGTTTGTGTTGTTGAAATGTCAAACTATCTGAATGAAGGTTACTCAGAAAACAARCACTGCCTTAACTAGCCTTAAATAATAAATGTATTGTTTTTCTTTTTTACTCAGCAAATTTTACAGATACTGAGCTAAAATTCGGTGTGAGCTGAGAGTCGTTCAAGTGAAATAAAAAAAAAATGCACAAAGGGGAGCCACCTAAAATCTTGCCTAAGGCGCCGAATTTGTTAGTTCTGGCCTTGGTGCACAAAATCAAARGGGATTATGCATTTGTTAATTTCAAGATTTGACCAAAACAGGCATAAATCTTTCATTCCTCATAACATCAAATTAGTTTAAGACTTCAGCATGAAAGGCAATGTGCYTTTATTCAAGAAGTGCCAGGACTTTAACTTTGTTGAAATAATGAATATTTGCTAACGTGACTGAAAAATCAATTTTCAAACACATCTGTCTAAAAACATAGATTATATGTGTTAAGCACAGTATGGAAAATTAAATGGCAAAGCATGTGTTTTTTTTTACACATGTGCAAATTTGCAGTGAAAACATAAATACTACACAGATGCGTAGTAGTATGCTTGACATTTGGATGAAATGTCTTTGATGCTGACAAAGCCACTGCCATGAAGGAGTGAGGCCCCCGGGGCAGGACTCAGTGTTCACTCTGACTCATCAGCACTGGCACACACACACACACACNAGATTGTGTGCTGAGGCTGTCAGTGTTAACAGTGAACACCAGAGGGCGCAAATTAACAGCTTTGTTTGAGGCACCGAAGTTAGAGTTGTGTTTCWGTCTGTGTACTACTGTTGATGTTRGCCCRGGTGCCATACTGGAACCCAGTTTCTGTACCCAACCCTAGGACCTGATGGACTAGAACCTGAACCAGAAGAGGAGAAACAAGCTCTTGGATCCAGGACCTACTGCTGGTCTGGTTCTGTCTCCTCATGTGTTTCTGGTCTTAGCCCCGCCCCCTGACCTTTGACCAGGTGTGTCTTACTTTGAGCGTGTCGTTGAGCTTCTCGTCCTCCTCCTCCAGGTGAGCGCATTCCTTCTTCAGCTCGTTGTTTCTCCTCAGGAGCCGCCGCTTCTCCTCCTGCCGGACTGCTCCCCACCCCACACACACACACACACACACACACACACACACACACACACACACACACACACACACAATAATGGTTGTAAACATCAGAGGCTGCTGTGTTGGGACGAGGGGGTGCTCCCTATATCTAATCCCTGTGGAGCTTAGCAGCAGAGTGTGTGTCCATCGCTGGAGGATGGGAAGTGAAAAGAAATGGAGGGCAGATAATCTGAAGCAAGAAGGAGATCCTGTGTGAGAATATATATTATTTCCTCTTTACAATTAAAACGCTCTTATAAACACGCCCTCTCCTCACATATCTGATGCTCTGGCATGCCTGAGTTCTTATGGTTACACTTTATCGGTTCATCTTGCTTGAATTGTTTTTGAGTTAAAATGTTTTTTTTTATTGTGCACATTTAAAACAGCTGCAGTTGAACAAAGGGCTGAAATGAAATAAATAGGAAGTAAATAATTAAGCACCATTGATACTGAAAGATGAGACAAAACACCAAAATRACAAAAACAAACAGAAAGTTAAGCTTATAAGCTTGGAGTTACACTTTTGGGTTTGACTAGAGCTCCTTAGATGAGACGTGAATAAACATCTTCTAAATTCAAAGAAATATTTTGCTTTGGTTTTAAACTAAAATGATTTTTCGTTGTGGCTGTCATTTGCTTGTTGTTTAATAAAAAAAATATATACAAAAGGCCAACTATTTCTGTTAGCATAAAATATTTTTTCTGAATTATTTTCCGTTGTTTTTTCTTTCTTTTTTTCAAAATTTAATCCAATAACTTTGTAAATCCTTGAAAGTACATAGAACCAAAAATAGAAACATGACCATGCATATACTAACATGCCTTTAAGGACAATTCAGAAAAACCAATTAATACAACATGCTTGTTTTTGAGGGAGTGTAGAAAACATATTTGCAGAATATGTACACTCCTCACTGAAAGGCCTTCATACTTTATGAGGTGACAATAGTCAGCTAAACATTCTTAGTCAATATTTTAGATGCAAACCATGATCTGTGCGAGTAATAAAGTTTTTTAATCTTTTTATTTGCTCTAACCAATCTGCTGGATCTGAATGACAAATAAGCTGAGTTTGAGAGTGGGAATAAAATTAGAAAGAAAGAGATGCACCAATGCTGTGAATCACTCAAACAATTTTCTGAGTCAGTTTGCCCACTGATTATTCCTAATGTATTTTTTTCATTTATTTTGCAATGATACAGCTTCTCTTTTGAGATTAAGAAAGAATTTCTCAATTTCACTTTTTCAATAAAGGCAGTCAATACACCCCTTGAGCAAGCTGCTGTGAAACAAATGAGCAAATAGTGAATTTTGCTTGAATTCTTGATCAGTTCATTAGGCTTCCTCTGGCCAAATAATTCCTCCAGAAATCCCCCTCAGATCACCTCTTGTACAAAGACATGCCGGATTTTCTGCGTTTGAGCCTTGAAGCCTCGGTGGGCCAATTTGAAATGAGCAGTTCCTCCAAGGAGCAGAGCTTCTGTCTGCTTGAGCTCTTCAGCCCGGTGTAAAAAAAAAAGTGCCCTAGCCMTCCATTGCCAAGCTTGTCATCATAACAAGCTTACAGTGTAAATGCCCAAGATTAGGCTAGATATTGGCAGTACACTGGTTTGCCCTTATCTGTTAGCCTCAAGCTAATCTGATAAGCAGAATGATGGACGCCAAGAGTTTGTGCTGGGAAAGTTGGATAGCTGTGAGTCAATATTTGGTTAGCCCTGGTTGGTTTGTAACACTGTACTTACACTGATCTAATCCAGAGAATCTGCAGATTGTAGCAACTAAATGRTTGTGRTCATGGTCAAATCTGAGTAGCAGCCAGTGCTGGATTCAGAGTCGGGGAAATTAACACAAAACAGACGTGTTATCAGCAGAACATACTGTATGTCTTTTAACATATCCRGTATATTCATCTCCCACTGCAGAAACACTACATGAGACGATCTCTGGCATAAACACATGTGATATGCATTCCTTAAAGGAATTGTAAGTCCTCAATTTAAGTTATGTTTGAGTGGTTTTAGCTTGGCTGCAACTATAGAAAAAATAAAGTAAGACCATGAATTTTAAAACCTCACTGCTGCACTTGCTTTTGTTTTGAATCCCTATAGAAATGTAGGCAACTGCTTTCTTGCCTTTTGTATGGGTCTGAGACTCAAACCTGTTTGGTCAGGTTCTCTCCTCTACACATACTGTAGGAAAAGCTTGATCCTGTTTCTAGTCACCAATGGTTTGTTGGTTAACAAATAGGTTTCTAGATATTCTTACAGCTGCACTTACCTAAATTACTTAAAGTGTCTTAATTTTGTGTCACAAACTTGACACACACAACACTCTCGCAGGACGGCAATATCCTCCAACACAGCTTTGTTTGCGCAATTTCCCTGTTAAATTAAAAACATATACTTTTTTTTTAAAAAGCACACATATCACAATTACCACTTATAGATGCAGAGCACTTACAAGACAGAGTTTATTTTTTATTTTTGTTAAAATGTTGGGAAACAAATACAACGTTCTTCCACCACTGACTAAAAAATTCCAACACATTAGCACATTATCAGGACCAAGTCTGCCCAAGGCTGATTTAAGTCACATCTGTCTGACAGATTCCAATTTGTACATAGTAATGTGTCTGCATCATATACTAAAGGTAATCATGGTGTTCCCCAGGGTTCTGCTCTAAATCTAGTTCTGTTTTCMTTACATATGCTTCCATCAGGCCATAATCAGAAAATGTAACATACACTACCGACGTTTTGCCAACGACACACAATGAGACCAGATGACTCTGAGCAGCTGCTCATACGCCAGGCTTGCCTTAGAGACATAAAGAACTGGATYTCCTCAATTTATCTTCTGATGAATTTGGTTAAAAGTGAGGTCATTGTCTTTGGCTTTAACAAAGTCACAGAGACACTGTAAACTCAAAATATAACTTCTGACTACTGCAGCCTCCAATAACRTAACCTTAGCTTAATCTTTTACCTAGACCCATCCTTTAATAAATAAGTCTCAAACTGCATTTGTTCGATTTTCTATAAATTTAGAAGCACTTTCTCAAGGTGACACAGAAAAACGGCTCCACATTTTCATCACAGACTGGGACATTAGTGCTTTTCTAGCTGGCTTTTCAAGGTTTTCAAAAAATAAAAAGAAAAAAAACTCTTACATCTAATCCAGAACTCTGCAGCTTTAGGGCTGACTGGTAGTCCTAGGAGAGACCACATTTCTTCTGTGTTWGCCTCTCGGCATTGGCTGCCCATGACTAGCAGAATACAATTTAAAAATCGTTGTGAAATATGAGGAATGACCAGGCCCCAGCATATTTAAAGCAGTTAATTGTCCCCTACAACCCAACCAGAACACTTCGCTCTCAGCATGCAGGACTTTTAATTGTTCTGAGAATCTCGAAAACTAGAAAATTAGGGGGAACCTTCACTTTTCAGGGTCTATTCCTTTGGAATCGGTTCCCTGCTTGGGTATAAAATACCAACACTCTGAGCTTAATTTTAACCACCACCACTGCTTTTCATCACTTTCTGTTTATTTGCATATTTTATACTGTAAACTATTGTGCACAGACAAAGTTAAAAACACAACTTAAATCCATTTAAAATACCTAAACCCTACATGTTAAACTTTAAACTTTCAGTGACTTTTTTTGTTTGTACTTTACGTTTGAACACATGATCTCTGAGTGAAATGAACTTTAAATAAATAAAAAAGGTGCCACATTTCTTTAAATGCCCAAAAATTAACTGAATATGTAAACATTGGATAAACAATAAGCAGATTTTTAAATTCATCTTAGCACTATGTGATTTTCTCAACTTGTTTTCAAGAACTTCTTCCTGTTTTTCTAAGTTTTGTCAGACAAAACACTCAGTGGAGTTCAGGAAAGCTGCTGATTCACTCCTCAGCTCAAATGACTAGAATGTAAACATTGGTAGCATGTTTTCCTCCCATTTCTTAACACATTTCAGTGTCCGTAGCCTTTAGCTGCTCCACAAGACACTGGTGTGTGTAATAGGGCTGTTTTGGAGGAACTCTTCCCCAGCTGCTGTGCTAATTGAGGCACAGAGAGAAGCTCCAGCCAGATGGAGCAAAGATGCCGCAAATTGATTCCTCGCATTCGTCTTCATTAAGGTCTCGGTTCTGAAGTTCTCAGGAGGAAGTGTAAAAGAGAGAGAGAGAGAAAAGGAGGGCGAGGCAGAGGAGACCCCCCCTCCCCTACACCTCTGAAGGGTTCACTCTGATGAGAGAAAATCTGAATCCCCGTTGACCTGCATCCAATCACTCTCTATCAAAAACAGCTCAGGAGCTTCAGGGAGGCTGATGCTAACGGTAACCCACCTGTTTATTTTCCTCCTCTGCCTTTTGAAGTCCTCCAACTCCTGATAAAGCTCTGCCTTCCCCAAGCCTCCAGCGGCGTCTGGGCAGTTCTCAGCTCCTTTTCAATTARGTCTTTGCAACTTTCACAAACTCAAACCCAAAAGGTGCAACGCAGCATAGAAGAGGCAGAAGTTTTGTGTCATCATCATCTTTGACACGCGCACGAATAACGCCCTACATCCACCCCTGTTGACCACATCCCGGCTGCATTTGTCTCACTCACAGCCCCGGTGATGCAGCGTCTGCAATTACCAGACAACACAGAAAGAATGATGTGTCACTTTCAAAAATTACATTCCCCACACTTAATGGGCCCTATGTTTATGCAACAATCCCTTCAAATTCTCACCGAGGGAGCACTAACACTCCGTCTTCCTGCCACACACCGGCACCCAACTCATCTCTCACTGCATATTAGCCAATGCCACCCTCCCCACCCGTTTTACGAAAAATAATTTACGACAATCTCACGTCGAAACAAATGAATATTAGTCATATTGATGTTTTTTTCTCTTGTCATAAATGTGGGCCATAGAAGAAAAATTCTCTTCATTTTTTTTTTTTTTTTTGTAGCGTGTTGGCAAAGAGAGGATTTGTCACCAGTGAAGCTTTCGGAGCGCGCTGCATGACGCTAACATGAAAGGGGATTTTTGGATGGGCTGGCTGGCAGGCAGGGGTGCAAAAATGTTATAGTTGGTTAGTTGAAGGTGGGAGGTTGGCAGAGAGGGAGGGGAGGGGGTGCCGTTTGATGTTTCATCCATTATTTGTGCAACGTTACCTGGATTATGTGCCAACTCACTTGGGAGGCAGAGTTACTTAGGCTTGTCACAAGCTGTCTATAAGGGGAGGGTCACTCTACCTTCCCCTGACTCTCTCTTAAACATACATGAATCTATTTTTTTGTCATCCTCACCCTTCTCTACTGTGACAGCCTATCACAGGGCCAAATCCTTGCTCGTCTTCCTCTTTGTCCATCCATCTATCCATGTTCCTCCCTTCATCTACCCTCCTCTTTTCCCTCAGCTCCTCTTTCCTCTGTTCTGCTGTGACATTAAGCAGCTTAGCACATGTCTTGTTGCAGGCTTACAGTGTGCTGGATGCAGAGTTTTACTGTCACTCTGTATACGCAGGTGCTTTGTGAGTCAGAGCCTCGGTGACAGTTTCCACTGTGCAGGATTTCTGTGATTTCCATATCTGAGTCAAACCTGGTAACATCTTGTGGGAAATTTCAGAAGGAGCTCTTCAGTATAAGAGCTGATGCTATGATTTTGTCTGGTTATTGAACATACGAACACGTAGGTCTTTGTCTCTGTACATGGAGTTCTCTCATGATTAAACTGTTTTGCATGCAAAAGGAGCATCTAACAAGAAAAAAAGGGATAGTTGTTGATAGAAAAAGTCACCTTTTCTTATATTGCATGCACCACCACAAACACATTACATCAAAAGCCTATTTTCAAAGTTTTATGCAGAAGGTGTCAGATCATCACTGACAGCTTTCTTCTCTGAGGTTTTAACCTCGTTTTCACACATACAGATTAAGACTCGTGTTTTTCCTGAATATGACTCAAGCAGGCTTTATAGGGCATTTCATTTGCTACTTTGATTAGGTGAACTCTTGTTCCTTCTTGTGCTAAAAATAATTTAGCTCTCTTGTGCATTTCTGTTTTAACATAAATAAGTTTATGTAATCAGGTGGGCAKCATGAGCACTTTTTAACTGTATTTAAACTCTTTTTGGGCTGGAATAGAAAACTCAGCCAGTGATTATGCTCTTCTACTACCCCACCAAARTGTAGTTTTGTGTCCATAAAAGGGCTTGAATTTGAACCATTTTTCTATACTCATAGGAAGAGCTGAGCTGGCTCACCTTGTATATCTTCATCKACATCCCTCTCTTCTGATTTATCTCCCATGTTTTCTTTCATTTCCCCCCACTACTCCCTTTGATTGCCATCTTTCATCATCATCATTAGTTTGCATTCGTTTCAAGTGACTATATTTCACCTTTTTGACTTTGCTCAAAGGCACTGGTGCTCAAGCAGCATGGAGCAGTTATTGAGTACTGTTTGAAGTTGACATTATGATCCGTCCAACATCCTTATCTTCAGATTTTTCTCATATCTTACAAGGTCTGAATCTGTGAAACCAATACGTGCTTCACTGCATGTACTTGTCCATTTCCCCAGCTTGTTTGCTCCTGACCTTTTCACCTTCTTTTGTTTATTGTTGTTGTTCCCACCACAGGAAAGCATCTATACCTTCACCCTTTTTTTCTCACACATTTGGGAAACACGTTCTGTAAAAGCAGGTTTCTGCTTCTCCATGACCTCCTCTTTAGTTCTTTTTTTGTACCGAGTGAGGAGTGGGAGGTTAAGGTCTTAAATACAATCTGCGGTCCTGCTCTGCCTGCCTTAGGGAATCACTCTTAAGCAAACCTTAATGGCTTAAAAGACAATTTCAAAGGACACGTAAGCTTGAAGCCATTTTGCTGAGACTCTGATTGGAATGGTCCACTGCGATGTGATGTGATAAACTTTACGTGTCTGCAAATAAATAATCGTGTATGAGAACTAGGGTTGGGCATAATCGTATCATGTGCAATTAATTGTCAGAAAATCATTCATCGATTATTTTTTGGCCCTTGATGATTAATACGATTAATGCCACCAGGCACACTGTTCCTCTCTGCTTCAAATATGACAAACATTAAAAAAGTTGTGTAATTTATTTATCTATCAACACAATTTAAAATTTGATGTATAGCCTGAAGTCTGTATTTTGACACAATTTGGAACAAATTTTCATGAAGAGCAAATCTATCCCACTAAATTGCTCATGTGACTAGGACATAAGGGTGTCCAGGGACTACAGGGGATTAATCGTCAACTTAATCGTTATTGGCTAAATACCACAATTAATCGTGATTAATTGTTTTGCTAATATTGCCCAACCCTAATGAGAGAGTGCATATTTCAATCTTTCAACCAAACGCGTTTCTACCAATCATCCATTTCACCCAGAAATGGTAAATTGTGTTCTTACAATGTTTATAGAAAACCTGGACTTGCAAGCTAACAGAAGAATACATGCCGATATCCTGAGCTCAGCTAATGCACAGATGATTATACCCTGCATTTAAAGCAAACAATCAAAAATAATGTCAGGGGCACATTTACATCAATGTTTGCACTGCTGTGAACAAGACAAACTTCTTCTTCCACTCAAAAGCTCTTAAAAACAAACAGCAACATTGAAAAGTGACATAATTAGTGGGCTAATCTATCTGCAATTAACCGTGCTGTCTCTGTCGGAGAAGCTGCGCACAGATGTTCCATTAGCGTTAAAGAAAAACTACAAACAGATGCTGAGGGTCAGCAGTCTGGGGAGAAATACTTCATTATGATTTAACACATTATATAGTGCACATATCTTTGTCTTTTTAGGCAAAGCTACTTACAGCACCKTTCTGTGACAGGCATATTCAGTAGAACTGTAATTTCACTATGTGAGGATTTTTACTGAGCTTTAGTTTTAAAATTAGCGACGGTGGTCCCACTAATTAAAAAATCTGTTAATCATTAGCGTCCACTGATTTCATTACCTACTGACGAAAGCAAGCACAGGAACCCCCC